TTCGACTTTGTGAACATTTCAATTGCAATGCTCAACAGAAGGTTACACTTAAATACATACAGGCACTATTAAGCTATTCTGAGTGAATTCCATTCATTGGTATTAAAAAATATGATTATAACAACAAAGATTATAATATTTGTAGTTACTACAAGTATGTTTTCAGTCTGGAAAAGCTGCTTTGTCAACTCAAAGTCAAATAGTGTGACAGTGTGATAAGGCTGAGTGGACAGCAGCATATTTCCTTCAAGGAGCACAGTTAGGGTTCACCAAGGGTTTATGTGCAGGCATGCGCAGGGTCAAACAGTTTGGGTTTGACTTTGTTTTCTAGGAACACCTCACCAGATTTCTTCCTTTATGAATTACTGAACTATCATGTGGCTGCATTAGTGTTAAAATATACCTGCCTTTGTATGGTATTTATGTTTATTATTTGTGGCAGATCGAAGGACAATGATGAGTTAGACAAAATCAGTTTAAGACATAAATGCGTTTGACATGTTTTTTTTTTTTATTTTCAGAACTTCTTTTGTATGACAGCAGATATATTTTTACTTGACGCCAAGCTAAACAGAGTTGGAAAGATGCAAAGGAGGAACATGATATTCTTTATTTTTGTTTCTCTTGCTTATCACATACTTATGTATGGTGATAGACAGCACAGTATGCAATGTTCTATTTCCTCTGCTTTTGAAAACACAAAACTAATAAAAATATGATTTAAAAAAGTGGATGAGTAAAGAATAGTCGTATGTTGTATTTTGTGAGTTGAGAGAAACTACGCTTCAAACCAGTAGCCTTTCAAGACTTTCTCATCTCAAGATAATCTGAATATCATTCAAGTTAAAGAAATGAGAAATTAGTTATACACACCTTGTAATTTTTATGCAACAGTTACATTATTGCCAGACTGTTGTTTTTGTTTCCTTGTTTCCTACAAAACACCAAAAACAAATTCATATACTTGGACTGATCAATAACCATGATTCAGAGTTGTGCCACTTTGTCTCATAATTACTACTACAGAGAGCTAAACTGAATGATTAGGAAGACGTTATGCCTATTCATCTGGGAATATTTGTAACTGGGATAAATTACACATTGAAGAGACTATTGTGTTGATGTCAGGAGTAGTATGTTTTATCAACATTATCCATTTTTGTAATGCTTTGTATGCAGCCAGCATGGGGTTACAAATATTTTAAAGAAACTGTTTAGAAATCAATAAAGATGACAATAAAATAAAATAATACATTTTCTTATTTAACATGTTCTCAAATGATGATCAATACTTATTTCTTTCTTTTGTTCCATCCTGTATTTGTATTTACCTTGCCCCTTGGCCAGAGCTACTCTATTGTTATAGTCAGACTTGCTACAGGCAGCTGTGTTTTCTCCCTGCCCAGTGGGAAATTGTTTCTCTAAACACACAAGCTAACACATCTGGGAAAGCATTAGTGACAAAGGACACTATGAACCTTCTCACACATTTTGCCAACACTGAGGTCAGCAAGGTCCTGAAGCTGTATGTTTTTTTTTACCAGAGCTGATATTGAATAGTCAGTTGAAAAGTTACACAATTGTCTTTTTTGTTTACTTTCAATCTAAATAGCAATATAAAGCCAGCATTCTTTATACTACATATTCTTCAATCTAATTTATTAGTTCTGACCTTCTTTTATTAGTTTTTATTGTTATTCATTGTGTAATGCTTTTATTACTTAAATGACATTTGTCTTTTGGTAATTGACAATCTAGTGGAAGACACATGTCCTTGTGCCCCTGCATAACCGTGATCTGACGTAAAGTGATTGATTCCATCTGTCTTGATAGGAATGATGAAGGATATCCATCCTTCTACATAAAAGGCCAACTGCTTTCCTTCCCACTCCCTCCCACACATTGTTTTTCTGTCTTCCTTGATCTTTTCTGCTTTTCCCCCTTCATATTTGGCGGATTTACACATGAGCCAGCTTATAAAGAATGGCTTATCTGCTAACATTGTTTGATTATGACAGCAAAATCACATTACGTTTTCATCTTGGATTGTTTTATGTTCTAAGCTGCTTCAGGCCGGTTTGCTTTTTCAAGTTTCTACCATGTTCAACAATTGCTCAGAGTTATCGAATATTGTGACACAATATTTCAATGCAGGTGTTTTTGATATGATTTTATTTCTAAAATGTGACAAGGGTGAGTGAGAAACTCAATGAAGCTAAAATCTTACAAATGATTTTGCAAGTTTGCACAGACTGAGAATTTCTTGGTTTTAAAAGTCCAATCAATTAAGATGAGCCATCTGGCAGTGCTCATTTGGTAAAATGAGCGCTGGATTCAGTAAAAAGTTATATTTAAATAGTGCTGAATCACAAAGAATGATTGTATGGTACTTTGCAAGGAAATTGGGTACAGCTCATATTTAGAAATCAATAATCAAATTGTCATAGTGAAGTAAAATCATATAGAACATTGTTTCCAAAACATCCAGTCCTGTATGTTTTAGGTGTTTTCCTTTTTCAGCACATTTGATTTCAAATGATTGCTGATTTAGTCTTTTGCTGCACTGCATTCATCTGGATCAGATGTGTTAAAGCACGGAAGAAAAACTAAAAACTTGTCAACATTTTCGCAAGTGCATATTCAGAAAGTTCATGTGAACATACGTCTTCAGAACGTTGGTTACTGTAAACAGCTCCTAAAGCACAACAGTCAGTTGTTATCCTTCTGTTTGTGAGGATAAGGTGTTGTACCTTCACACGGGGTGGGCAGATGAAGACATCATTAAAATGCTAGGAGTCTACAATATGGTACTATTTGGCAATTCTCTCAAACTGTGTTGTAACTTGCATTTGAAATAATCTGTTTCATTAATCTTTCATTCAACAGGCCTGTGGAGATGCAAGTTAACTTGTTCCATTAAAACTCAGTTTTCTGACATCTCTGCCCTGAGATACACCCCACTGCCATTACGCAATAACAGCAATCTGACTTGGGATAAATGATGCCTTTGTCTATTGTCTACCAGAACAACAAAAATCACTGGCACAAGAAACACTCCACTCTCCAAAGCCCTGCCATGCCCTGTTTACAAAGGGATGGCTAGGGAAGAGTTGTTTCTGCTCAGCCCAACAAAAGAATGTAAATTCAAAGACACTTGAAGGAAAGAAAAAATAAATCATTGGACACTCAAGAAAAGGAATGTTTTCTCTTTTACTTTAAAAATAAGAGATTTAGATCCATTGTTTTGCAAAAGAAATCTTTGTATTTCATGAACATATTTGATGACCTTATCATCCATTGTCCTACTTTGGAGGAGTGTAAAAGCCATGTCCTGGTTGAAAGACTGCAATTTAAGTAACTGTTGAATGTGCCCGTTTTAGAACAAATAACAAAATACTTTTCTTCAAATGTATATTTCAAGTCCTGTGTCTTTCCATCTTTAGCCACATCTGCAACCAGTTTATTTCTGCGTCTTTTATTCTGTTGATTCTGATCTTTTTTTATACTTACACAAGGCTTATGGGAGCACCTCACACTGAGACATTAAAAAAGAGCCCTCTCATCTTTCTGTCTATGGGTGTGTGTGATCCTACTGTGCTGAGACTGCTACGCTGCCTCCAGTGCACTTGTGTTTCCTAGCAGCGTTGGGTTGGGTCGAGATGGAATTTATACTGAGGACTGGTGAGAGGGATGGGCAATGAATAGGAGGAATCCATTTCCAAGTTGTCATCAGCCAGACGGTAAAGAGGAAAAAAGACAGATGACACTGACATATGAGGATGAAAGTGTAGCAGAGCTGAGATTTCACTGATGTCAGCAGGAAAGTTTTGTGTTGGAGTTTATATGAATATATATAGTCCATGAAGGTAAAAAGACATAAAGGCATTTTTGCTGTACTTGGAAGTGAGAAACATTTATACTCACTTATTGTCTGACAAGCAGTAGATAATTCTGTTGGTGTCTTCATTTAGCAGAAATCTAGATTTGATGGACCTGACGGCTAAGGCCAACAGCTTGAGTCTATGACTGAAAGCTTCCGATTTAATCTTGAATCGACTCCAGTCTCATAAACATTATTCAAGTCATATGAACACTATTTTGTTAGCCTTCAAACTGTCATTTGAAGTCCATTATGATTTTTTGTACACAGAAAGCGGATGAACACAAATGTGGTAAGAAGGGGACATGTAAAACATTTTCTATTCTCTTAAGCCTCCCACAGCAAATGTCACAGTTGGACAGAGGGGAAGTGGGAGGTTGTTCTGTCTGAATGGCAGTTTCCGAAAACAGACCCAAACACACACACAAAAATCGCACACAGGGTCAGTGCGACCCTGCTGGACCATGCACACAGTAAAACAACACATGGAGTATAAATGATTCCATCTCTTAAGACCGCGGCAGGATTAAATATCTAAGAGGGTAAGGCTGTTTAGAAGTCTGTAAAATAGCATTCCTGGACACCACAATCATATTTTCTTTTTGTTGTACTGCATTACATGATGACTTGATTTGATTTAGTTTTATTATTCAAACAAGTTTTCAAAAACAAGAAAACAACTAATAGGTAGGACAGAGAAAACATGTGCATACATAACCAAGACCAAAATAATTTGTTTACCACTACTTTTCAGTTTGAAAAGAAGTAGGAAGAAGTGAATACTTATTTAATCCTAGCGTTTATCTCAATTTATCAGTTGTTCTACTCTGTCCATGTTTCACGTGGGAGGATCAGTTATTGTACATTTGCATCAGGGGCAAATGCAAATTTGCCCCTGATGTTCAAGGTTCACGTGATGATATTAACTCAAACTGTGTTAAGATGGCAGAAGCCCACTTTGGTCATAGGCCCTCAGCTTTCACCTTAACTGATCTGGATTCATAATGAACAAAGAATGCGCATTCACTGTCATTTTTCAAAAATTCTGAATTATTTCTTTACATTGTTGAAGTCTAATATCTAGTCTTTTTCTTTCTTTCTTTTTTTGTGTCATATAAAGATATTATCAATGGGAAGACATCTGATGGAGGAAAGCCTGGAGGTGACAACACTCAAGAAAGCCCCCCCAAACCTCCTGCTGTGAAGGTGGTCGGCGGGTCTCCACCTATAAGCTGGCAGCAACCTTGGTGCCTTGTTCTGCTTTTTGCTGGACTTTGTTTGAAGTGGTTGGTGATCTGATGACAGGACTATCTAAAAAAAAAAAATCTCCTCATCATTGCCCCTGCAGGAACTTACATGACATTCATATCACAAATATGTTCCTTCCTCCCATCATCATCCTGCACAGATAGACGTCACTAACGGCGATACAGAAATGAAGAGTGGGTCAGTGTGTGGACAACAGTGTGAGTTCATAATGAGTGGGCAAATGCAGGGTCTTGTCCCACAGGATCTTTATTGTGAATGTTTATAAAGACTGACCTTGCGGTTTCCACTATACTGTTTGGTTTTAGATATTATAAAAGAGGGCTGCAGCTCTTGCTTCACTTGCACAGACCTAACCTTTGTTATTCAGAAAGGGGTTGAATCATTCTTAAGGAGGTTTACAACTGTAAACACTTAGTTACAAACATAAATCAAGTAACATGTAGCAGATGTCTTCTAATTCTACCGCTGATTTTACTTATCATCCAAGCTATGAACCTTTTTACAGCACTGTACTAATGCCAAACTGGTGGATTCTGTTCTTTTATAAATGTAACTCATTTCTTCTTTGGAATTAAGGAATGCATGAAAAATTGATAGATCCATCCCAGGTGTCTGGCCCAAAACAGCAGATTTGACATGCTCTAATGACTGTGTACCTTGCAGGGATTAGAATGTAATGAGTTCACAGGTACATCACAAGCTCCTTTGCACGGCTGAACATATTGAGCAGACAAACTAGGTGTGAATACTGTAGCAAGCAATTGTATATAGGTACAGAGGTTTGAGTTAATGTATGACATGAGCTGAATGGAATGTTAATTTGTTTTCTTTCATGAATCGGCTATGCTTGTCAGCTCTATGAAAGTCAAAATTGTTTTAATGTCAAAAATAAAAGGGAAAATATCCATAATTTACCACATGAAGTAATTAAAGAATGGAAAGTTTTAAAATTTTCCACAAAGGTTACATAATGTTGGCTCTACTAATATTTATTGTGCATCCTGGTTTGTGTGTTTGCTTAATGAATTGCACATTATTGCACATATGAAATGCAAAATTTCTAAATTGTTCTGGCCCTTTCTAGCAGAGTCTCAGCTCCTTTTTTTTACCTCTCTCCTTTAAAATTCTATTTGCTTTTTTTTTTTCTACTGCAAGCAGATACTGTTTAATGAGAAAACAATACAGTATCTCTACAATTTACATGACCCCCTCCTCCTCTACTTTTCCACAAATTCCAAAATTTCTAAATGTGTTTCAATCATACTGTGTTGGAACACTCCAAAAAACACAAATTGTTTTTTGTTGTTTCATAATTGTTCAGATTTGAATTCCTTTGAATGCCAGTTTTCTTTCTATGCAGACAAACTTGATGCATTGACTGGCACTGACACAGAGTAATAAGGTTTGAATCAAATACTTACCTACAACGTATAAACGCTTACATATCAATCGTTTAAAATTAGATAGAATTTTACCTATTTATTTAATTTCACTTTGGGATCAATAAAATATTTTTAAGATAATGTTCAGATAATGCCTTAAAATATATCCACAGGTGTGCTTCTGTTTCCTCAGATGTCAGGAATTAACCTTTTAGAATCTTAGTGCATGTTCTGTGAAAATATTCCAGCACTTAGCTAAATAAAATTATTTTGCTAATCATAACTGTCCTAATCAGAAAGGGAATTTTTTTTATCATTTTATACAATGTATGTGGATTTCTTGTCCCAGCTGTAGCTATCTGAGGTGGATTAGAAAAGGCATCATACCTGACAATGCAAAACTGAAGTGCATATTTATAACATCTCTGCATTTACATAATGAAGTCTCAATGTCAAATTAGAACAAAGTGAAAATAATTGGGAAACTCTTAAGTTTTCAAAAGTTGAATGTGTAACATTTTGTGTGCTCTACTCACAATTTCTTTGCTGTTCCATGCCTTCAAATGTGTATAAATGTACATAGTTTTCATCCTTTGCTTTGTGTTTCCATTTGTCATTTTTGTATCATTAAGATACAATGTAGTTGAGCTCTATTAAAAGTGCTCTGCTCTTTCGACTAGTCTCTTCTTGAAGGTTACAACTCACAAACCACAGACTTTCTTTGAGGTCTTTTTTTTGGAACAGCAACTCCAATACACATCCACACCAGTTTGTTTGTTTTTTTTTTTTTTTAATTGTTCCTAATATTCTGTATGCACTGCTGAACTAGACTAGAGTACACTCAACATAGATAAATTATAAATATAAGGGCTTTTATGCAACTGTTTAATCAACTGATTGCCTTAGAGAGTCTCCATCAAGTTATTTTGAATCTTAATATTTTAGATGTGCAAACACTTTTACCACTTTAGGCTTTTTAACAATTCATATCACGATAACGTAATACTCCAGTAAATTATATGCTTAAGTTTTGCAGACGCAAAATGTATGAGTTCATCATTTACTGTTTAAGAAGACATTCCACTGAGACAACCATTATATCTATGCATCACATTTTAAGCTGCATTGAGCAGGGTGTTATATCTGATAACACAAATCAAACTTCCTGATGTCAGCGCTGAGGAAGATTAAAGGTTATGAGGGTTCAATTAGGACAAGCTATTTCATTCTGTCCTTCACCAGTTGCACCAAGGGGAAATTTTGCTAAACATACCATGCTGTGTTTGCACCAAGATTGTGTTAGTGCAGAAGACATTAATGGTTCTGGCACAGTCAAAGCCAGTCATGATGGCAGCTGCATTGACTGAATTGGCTGTGAATGATCTAATGGTTTCTCTTGAAGGGAGGTTTGCCTGTTAGCAGTATTCAATTTCTTAGAACATAGAGGCGAAAAAAGTTACATCTTCTGTAACACTTTTTAGGAGGTGGGGGATACATCAGTTTCCAATACGTCATGTACTTCTACTTATTTAGATCATTGGCAACCAATAAGCTAAACACATTTTCCATAGTCAAAGTCTACAAAGAGGAAACAGAAGTAATATTAGTATATATATATATATATATATATATATATATATATATATATATATATATATATATATATATATATATATATATATATATATATATATATATATATATATATATATATATATATATATATATATATATATATATATAGATCTATATATATATATATATATATATATATATATATATATATATATATATATATATATATATTTCTATAAAAATGTCAATCAACTTCACTTTCTTTCTGAGGTTAGCTCGAACAATGTTGTGGAATATGCAGACACTTATGTTTGAGAACCAGAGAGGTCACTAAGTTTAACTGAGAGTTTGGGGGATCTGAGGTCACAGCTGCTTAGATGTCTGGGCTATTTTAAACGATGCCATACATCAGCGCTTCAGTCGTTGCAGCCACATGCACACCAAAACATCTTCACATGCAGAGAGAAGGAACGAGAGCAAGACAATGTAAAATTTGGTTCTTTTCAAAAGGATAAGATCTAAAACTAATTCAGAGAGATGTCACACCACACACTCTAAACTGAGTTTTGAGAACATTTCTTTTTTTTTTTTTTTTTTTTTTTTTTTTTTTTTTCAGTGGATGATCATGGCTTTAGCAATGTGAAAACAGAGCAGCCCACTTTCAACCCCAGGAACTCATCTACCACCCTTCACCCCATACCTCCAGATTGTCTTACCTTTTCAGCACAGAGATCACAGTGACAAACTTGGGTTGGATGAAAGAGGCAATGGAGAGGAGACGGCACTAGAAATAGCTTGTCAAAGATAGACAATTGGGTGAAGAGAGTCCTGTGGCACCTCCTAACCACAGCTCTCCCGCTTGACTTTCAGTCATCAGATGTATCCATTTCCCGCTGCAGAGCTTCATCAAATTTTACAACAGGGTAACAAAGGCAGCATATTCAGTTGTTGATCTGTTATTTTTGTCTAGTGGCCGACTAACATTAGGTTAGGTAAATTTGTGACCCTCATTTTAATTCAAATAAACTGTTGAAAAAATGTCAAGATGATTTTCAGCTATGACTTGGATTAAATCTCTAAAAAACAGTTTGTCATTATTGTGCATAATTACGCACAACATGTTATCTGTTGTTTTATTATTTTTTTATGTTATGTCTACTTGTGATTCAAACTCTTGCAGGGCAAAATAATGGTTTTTTTTCCATCAGTTTGTCTCCTGTAAAGGTCAGAGTCTGTGCCATGCAAACATGTATGTCAGTGAATGGAAAAGTCTTCATATTGTACCAGTCTTCTTGTTCTTTGCTGATTACTGCCTCCAGAAAGTCATTCTTGATGGACTACATCAAATATGAGCAGTTATTCAGCTTTGCAATACTTGAATATCCTTCAGGATCCTGGACTTATTCTTCCTCTTATGAAAGAAAAATAGAGACAGACCACATGCCAGAGGACTGAGCAGTTGGCTCAGACCATTTTCAATCTCTTGCTGAGAAAGATTCACATTTTTAGGGACTATCTTTACTATTTACAGAGAAAACAAGAGAAGGGCAGGGCAAGCATGTCTCATATGCAAAAAAGGAAGGTCTGTTTTTAGAAAAAGGGTGAAAGTTTAGGAGCTCCAAGTGACAAAGTGACATAATATTTGGGTGTGCGAAGTAAGCTGGCCTTTTTTTTTTCTTTTCAAAAACTCTATGTAGTTTGTGGGGTTTTCTGCATGTGAACACAAAGAACACAAAAACCTTCCCCAGTCCACAATCCAACAGTGGTGCAATGATCATTCAGAGAGAATTAGATATTGGAAAACTCATCCAATGGGGCAAGCAAACCTCAGAAGTCTGTGTTTGGCATGAGTCATGATCCACTGATCAGAAAGTTTACAGAAGTCAGTCGTGGGATAGGCAAAATAGGAAAAGAAAAGAAAAAAAAAACACTGGAACATGAATTAGGTCAGAAACTTGGAGACCAAATAGGGGCAAGGAAAAAAAATCCTGGATTTCTGACTCACTCATGCAGTCAATAATCTGGCAATGAGGCGGAGGCTGTGAAGAGCTTAAGTGCTACAGCAACCAGGTGAAGCGGGTAGATCGTCAGAACAAGGCGCAAGTGGATTCAATAAACTGACACACAAAGGGCAAGGCAAAAACATGAAATCAAGAGGCATGCCATGAAAATGTGAATTATGAGGTGCATCCCATCTAATGGGATGGGATGCAGATTTAAGTAATGTTGCATTGCCGCAAAAAGACGTGGGATAAAATTTGAAAAGAGTGTCAGGTTGATTGGCCACGCTAAATTGCCTGGTGTTTGAAGCTGTGCACACATAGTTGTCTATCCTGTCTGTTTTAGTATTGTCCTCTGATTCACCATGGTAACATATCCATGTCTTGAACAGTTTTATGTTCAAACACTTAGATCTAATTCATACTAAGCGAAAACAGAGAACTGCTCTCTTGCTTAATTCTTACATCTTGCTCTTTTTTTCCCAATACGATGTATGACTATTAGTATGTGGTTGTTGGAAATTTCGAATACATGGTTACTGAATTGACAACTGGATGTGTTGTCAATTCACACTCAGTTGGGTGTGTCACATAGGAAAAAAGGTGTTGGCTATTTCACCCTTTTAATTTTTGCACCTTTCCAATTTTGGTCTTTTCATGTCCAGTTTGTCTGTCACATAATTTTTCTCATTCATCAATTTAGGTTGCATTAAGTTACATTGCTTTGAAAAACAATGTAACTTTTTCAAATCTACGCAGATTGCATAATTAGGAAATGTAGCTATTTGATTCCAATAAATAATACCTTTACCAGAATTTAAATTTACTTTGATTTGATCAGGGATCATAATCTGCTGTTTTTCATAATAATCGATGAGCCCAAATAAAGCTCATTACCAACTGAAAAGGAAAAACGTCAAAAACAAGGTATACAGTTGCATGAGTGAGATTTGTATAAGATAATTTTCTATACACACTGTCCATGCTCAGCCATGTGCATGTACACAAGAGACACAAAGTTACTGACGGCCCGGTGGACAAAACAAAAGACTAGATTGAGTGTGTCATTGGAATGTATTGTGCTTTAATAAGGCACAGCAGTGAGCCTGAACATTAGTCAATGGGGAAGTCAGGCTGTTAAGAAAACAGATTAACTGTCTCCACATGACAAAGGCCAGCTAAAGAAAAATGTGGCCCTTCTAGCATGAGCCCCCATTCCAATTAGACCAGTGGGGTCTCTGTGGGTGTTACTGTAATTTGAGTTGTGATTAAGGAGGCTGAGAATTGAGTCATAGGCATGCCTGTGATTGTTTGTAGGTCTTTTTGCAGGGATGTCACATATGTTCAAGGGTGGCCTGCATGTAGAGCAGAGTTCTCATTCAGGTTTGCTCTGTTTGTCATGCCACAGCCAGCTTTCTTTCTCATATCCTGGAGACGGATGAGCACTGCTGTGAATGTTCCATGGGTCCTATGGGTGCCATTCCACCTTCTCAACTCCCTTTGCCTTTCTGTCTATCTGTAGCGGTTTAAACCTAAATAATTTTTGATAATTACTTTTGCTTTGAATAGTTTTATCTATCTTCATGGCTTCTGAACGTGTTATACTAGTTCCCATTTTAGTGATGGAGCATAAACCTTAAGTCAATCTTTTATTTGAATTGCTGGACTTGTTGGGTATAGAGTTTGTATATAACTCAAGATAAATGAATGTCATCGATTGGCTTGGATTACATATTCAGGAGTGCAAGCCATCAACGAATTCTGCAGACTATGAATGAGTGGAAATCAATTATTTGGGCCTTTGGGGGCTTCATCCTCATTCTTATAGTACAACCTGCACTTTTCATGCCTGAGTGATTTTGGGCACCAGTGATGACAAAAACTTTTTCTGCTGATTTGAATGTTCCTTAAATTCTCTTTAAACTTCATTTTTGAGTGAGTGAATAGAAGTTAGACCTTCTCACATAACATAAAAAACCTTTATAAAAAAAGTAGCATTTTATTGCGTATGACTGAATTTGAACTATTGTAGATCTTTTATCTATTTTCTTAAGTTACAAGCATTATCAATTATAAGCAAATTTCCTTTTTGGATCAGT